TGTTTATCGCAGCACTGTTTACAATAGCCAAGAAATGGAAGCAACCTAAGTGTCCATCAGTAGATGAGTGGATAAAGATGTGGTACATATACACAATGGAATATTATTCAGCCATAAGAAGAAAACAAATCCTACCATTTGCAACAACATGGATGTAGCTAGAGGGTATTATGCTCAGTGAAATAAGCCAGATGGAGAAAGACAAGTATCAAATGATTTCAGTCATCTGTGGAATATAAGAACATTGCAAAAACTGAAGGAATAAAACAGCAGCAGACTCACAGAACCGAAGAATGGACTAACAGTTACCAAAGGGAAAGGGACTGGGGAGGATGGGTGGGGAGAGAGAAGGGGGAAAAAGGGGGCTTTACAATTAGCACACATAATGTAGCTGGGGGCGAGGGGGGTCACGGGAAAGGCAGTATATACAGAGAAGATGAGTAGTGACTCTATAGCCTCTTACTACGCTGATGGAGAGTGACTGTAATGGGTTATGTGGGGGGGGGGGGACTTGATGATAGGGGAATCTAGTAACCATATTGTTGCTCATGTAATTGTTCACTAATGATACCAAAATAAAAAGAAAGAAAAAGAAAGGTAACTCATAAAATTAGTATACTAGAAATCTTGGCAAAACAGGAACCTAGTTACTGAAAAATGGCCCCAGTGAAGTTCTAGGAATCACATCATCAGGGGTGTGAGAGTCTTCATGCTAATGCTTCCCAACCAACATGAACATAGCTTTTCCTCTTCCATTTTCCTTATTTTGTTCCCAGTATGAGATTGGCTTCCTTATCCTCTTCTCTATCACTAGGGTGACCACATAACTTAAGATCAATATCTGGATACTTTTCAGTGTAAAACAGTATTAGTAATAACTTTGCTGGGACCACAAACATAAAGTTGCATTATTGTAGAAACACAGGAACTTCAGTAACTCTGTTATCTTCCTCATAGTTTATGGCTATCAGTTTCTGCTTCCTGGTAACTTCAGCTTAGGATAACAAAAGCCTCTGGGGTCTGCTCAGCCTCCACTAGTTGCTTCTAGGCCATTAACAAGTTTAGTCTCAGCATAACCTGAGCGGAGGTGTGCCAAACCTGTGAAAGTAAGCAATATCTTATTCATGGAGAAAATTAGAGAACCAAGCTTCAATATTCCAGCAAGGGCTGAGAGAACAGTTGTGGAGGTGAATCTTATAGCTATTGGTTCGGGTTAGCAGAATGTGTGGCGGGTGGGCATTCTGTGAAGGACATCTTGAGACTGTTCTAGTATGTGTGTGGAAAGGTTCATTAAGCTATGACACTGTGGTAGCTACACTACAGTTAACGAAGTGGAGATGCTAGAACTGTTTTGGCAGAATACTGCAGAATGGACCAATGGAAGACAGGAGTGTTAGAATGGAGTTACTACATAAAACCAGGGAATCCATTATTTGAATGTTTTCTGGGAGGACCCACAGGATACTACCTTCATTAAATCAATAGAAATGTGGTTTTGGAGGAAGAATAGATGGACAACACTAGCCAAAATCTTCTAATTTTATAATCTGAAAAAATCAATTTGGCATACTTTGACTATATATACATTATGACTGTCTTGCCTGAGGGTTTCAGCCCCAGGCACGTTCACTATGGATTCAGTCAGAGTAAGGAATGACACTGGAACGTTCTTGGGGTAAAAGGGCTTATATCCAGCTTTATTCTTCTTGTGATAGGTTGAGCACTAGAATCACGTCTGCATCCAACTGTCTGCAGGTCCATAACCCTCCTCCGTCTCTGCCTCCACACAGAGCACTAGGCAGAACTCTTTATATAGTAACTCAGCCCATAATAGCTTATTGCCTACAGGTGTAGAAACAGTAGCCTAGCAGTAGGCCAATTACATCATCAAGTAGTACCTGGCCATAGGAACTTCCATTTTCCCCACAGTAACCCATCTATGAGTCAGTCTCTCAGTACAGGCAATTTCTGTTCATTAGAAAAATCTTTTCTTGACTGGAAAAAAAAGTGAATAAAAAAAATCTTTTTTTGTCAGGAGTTATTACCTAAAACACAAGTAAAAATGTTTGGAAAACTATGTTATTTTGAAATGGTTTCACCATTTTTTCAAACCAAGTTATTTCTGTTTTTGTAGTAATTTTTATTTACTGACATATAGGGTCTGATTTCTTCACATAAACCTGATTTTTGCCAGCTTACACATCACATTGCAGTATTAGTTTTACAATTCCTACTCACAGTAGTGGACTTTTTAATTATCACCTTAAAATGGAAATACTTGGGCAGTTTGTCCCCTTTTAACTAGGGGAAAACATAAAAGGAGATGTCTGATTACTTGAGGCTGAATTATTCTACTGGTTCTAAGAATGAGGTTTTCATTATCTCAGGCTTCTGGCCATAATGTAACCAAAAAATCTGAATTAAGCAGAATACAATTTCAAGAAATAACTGATAAAGCATGTGTGTTAAGGTATATTTTTTCAGATTGTACTGAAAAGCACACAGTAAGTTTCTGGACCTGGGATAGATTTAATCATTAGTTCCGTCTAATGACCATACTAGTTTTCCACACTCCAATTCTTACCTCTGTGGTGACCAGTGAGAGCCAGACTAGTAAGAGCTAATCAGATTGATAAAAGCCTACTACATATCCTGTACTTTGTACGGTAGGTGGGGAATGCCAAAATATGAACCTGGTTGGCTATACAGGACAGCTGTACAGAAGTCATGCTCTCTTCCAGACAAAGGAAATCTTATCTCCTTAACGTAAAGAAGTTCTCTTAGGAAAGGATCCTTGATCCTTTGGAATATCAGTAAATCTTTTGGGGGAAGATAAACCCTTTGTCTTCAGATTTACAATCCAGACAGGCCTCCATTGTCCCAGGTCTCATCTTCACCTGAAATGTGCATATCAAAGAAAATATCTCTGGTAGTGACTAGACTGTGTTCTCCCCAAATTCATATGTTGAATCCCTAACCCACAGTGTGACTGTATTTGGAGATAGGGCTTTTACAGAAGTAATTCAGGTTAAGGGAAGTCATAAGGGCAGGGCCCTAATCCAGTAGGACTGGTATCCTTATAGGAGGAAGACACACTAGGGATGTGTGTGCATAGATGAAGGGTCATGTGAGGACTCAGCAAGAAGGCAGCAGGGTCCAAACCAAAGATAGAGGCCTCAGGAGAAAACAAACTTGACATCCTGGACTTCCAAATCTTGGACTTCCAGCCTCCAGAACTGTGAGAAAATATATTTCAGTTGTTTAAGCCACCCAGTCTATAGTATTTTGTTATGACAGCCCTCACAAACTAATGCATTGTGGGTGGTTTTCTCTCTATTCAGTCACAGTTCAACTTCAAAGGCTTCTTTCAGCGCAGGTCCCAAGTTTCAGTAAAATTTGGTCAGAAAGCTCTATCTGTGCAGAAGCAAAATACTTTCTCTATTACCCCAAACTATCTTTTAAAGACATTCTTCAGAATTCTAACTACTGGAAAAGCCCATATCCAAAAACAAATGTTCAAAAAAAAAATTAACAGATTTTGTAATGTTTCCATTGAAATTCTTTAACCCCAAACTATCCACACATCATCTCCCTGAAGGGAAAGTGTTGTGCCTCTGCCTACCTTCCCTTTCACCCAGGTTACTAATAAAAAGTACACCAATAATTCAGGGTGGCTTCATAAAAAAGGGAAAAAAAAGTTTGGTGGTAAGTGTACATCACTTGAAATTACTCTGTTTTCTTTAATTATATAATGTCTATCTAGATAATTTCAATATGAATGATATGAAGGTAAATTTGGTTATTACTTAAAAATGAATACAAGATATTTCATTAATGTTTTATTTTTTAGAGATCAATTGTGAAGCATTTTGAGCATTTAAATCCTTTATGTAAAAATCTACAGAATTTATTTCAGATTACAAAAATTTCAACAGTGCGTATTTAACAAATAATACACATTTTTAAATAAATTAACCAAATAAACATTTCACATATACTAAAACACTTAAATATGCTAAGCTATCAAAGCACATGCTAGATATTCCAAAAATGATTTAACAAATGACTTTGCACTGTGCATTTTTAATTCAAAACTGTACTTGGGTGCAATATCACAGACCTCAGCAATAACAGATTTCAACACTTAGTATTTTTTTGGTTTTACACATTCCTGAAGACAGTACCTTAAGACAATAGATACAGTATACTCACTGATAAAACCTGATAGTGCTAATCTATCAATTTATCAACTAAGCCAAACTAATTTTTAAAATATCAGAATTTTGTCCCAATTTTATATTTTCTTAATTTTATAGATGTGATAAAAATGTCAATTTCATTAACTATAAAGCTATAAAAAGTAAATTTTTCCCAACATTTAAGACCACTTGGATGAAAGAGGCTTTGATATCTGTATTTTATCATTGTGACTAATTTATTGTAACTAAATTTTAGACTTATAATTCCCTAAGAATTGTATCAGTACCTTTGTTCATTTCAGTTGTGCTTATTATTCACACAAAATTGTTATTAAGTTTTCTATATTGACAAAAAGCTATTAAACTATAGCAACCTTTTTCTCAGTGCTTCAAGATTTTATATAAACTATGCAAATTAATGTTGCTGATATTTTAATATGATTTTTAAAATTATATACATGGCAAAAATTTATTAACAGTAACTATGAGTAATCTTAAATTTTCATTTTGCCACATAAAACTATTTCCTCATACAAAATGTCTGCCCCATTTCCTCCCACCCCCCAAAAAAAACCTTGTTTAAAACAATCTTTATAATCAAGCACTCAAATAAAAGTTTCTGTTTACTTAAGGGAGAGGGCATGAGTCCTCTATATGAACTATTCTACCCTGATACAGGACTTGTCTCTACTAAAACAGAATTCCAGAAAGGAATATTAGCTCCCCATGTCCACTTACCTTGCTGACAACTTAGAGGAGTAAAATAAAGATTCTAAGAGCAGTTTTGACAAGTAGGAAACAGAAAGGCTCTCACTCCCAAACTAAACAGTAATTACATAAAAAAATTTGGCACTGTTAAGTCAGGCAGATCAAGCTGTAGTGGAAAAGAACATGGTCTCTAATAGGTATTTTAAATCTGCTAAGAGAAAAATCAAGTAATTATGCCTTGCTGTCTACCAAACACATAGGTTGAAAGGTCTCAATAATTATAATGCACTCTTATCACCTTCCATTCTGTAACTAAAATGGCTATTTAATATACTAATCCTAATTATAATGGAATTCTTTTAAAGTTTATTTTCTTTCTCTAATACTAAGATAAAATACATTTTGGAAATCAGCATGGAATGTTCCCAAGAAGTTAGTTCTTTTCTTTTAGCTGGTCTGTGTTATATAGTTTTGCTCATCCTTTCAACTACATGAATAAACATGATCCCCAAACAGAAAAACAAATATTTAATATTTAATATAAAACAGCATGCATTTTTGGGTTTCTGTTAACAGGGCAAAATAGAAGTGATTCATATGAAAAAAGGGATTATATGACTAAGATATGTCTTTTGTGGGATAAAATTCACCCTTACACCCTTCTCCTACCACTTATGTATTATCTGCTATAAATCCCTCAAGGTTCAAGTTCAGTATTACAAACAGAGATTTTCCAGTTTTCATCATGGATTTTTCTTTTAACATTGTTTTCAAGTTGTTTTAAATACTTAGACCACAATTATTTAAAATTTATGTTTATAATTCACAGCCCACATTCAATAGGCAATGGCTTTGAGAGTGTTTTGGATCACAACCCATTAAAAACTCTTTAACACGAGCTCTCTCCAGAAAGACAATAATTACACATTTAGAGTTTTGCAAGCTATTCAGAAATTTCACAACCCCACTAACATCTGTTTAGGTTAAAAACCCTCATACTACAGGGATGAAATCAAGTAATAGATTTAGATTTGAAAGGTTTAAAGTTTTTACAAAATAGGGAGATCTGTTTTAGTTGTTGAACAATTTATGACTGATTAGGCAAAATTAAATATTTACAACAGATATAGTTTTTAGTTTTAGTCAGAGCTAATCTTACAAGAGCTTCTCAAACTCAGATATATACAGGTTACAACCAATGTGCAAATGGAGATATTAACACAGAGAAATGTTTAAACTGATATTAGCAAGTAAATATATACTAAATTGAAAGAGTTAAGGTTCATACTCCAAGGTATAACTTATCAAGATACTATTAGTATTATGAAAAACATACAAAAAATAAGTAGTATTTTCTAATACTACTGATTTATAACAGAGCCACAGAATCAAGTAGATCATTTGCAAAATGACATCAATGATCAATACATGCTACATAGTTGTACATAGCTACTAACAAGTCATTTCTGGCATTCATAACAAGCATGTACCCAAATAGCCAAATGACTACAGTTGAAAATAACTTAATTTCTAGAGCAAATACAAATAATGACTCTTACAGTTAAAGGCCTAAAATATATCTTAATATTTCATGTGATTAACAATTGCAGAGTTGAACATATATTTCAAAGTATGTATAATTTGTAATAATATGAATGGGGAAGAAATAAAAGGTAATTATGGTAGTGTGAGCTTCTTAAATCGAAAAATTAAAAATTGAAATACATTTCACATGAGAGTTAAATGTTTTTTTTTCTTTATTGAAGTAAACATTTAGATGATAATACAAGACAATGGACAATCCATGTGACGAAGTACTGTAGTCTACGGTTTGGTGTAGTCTCCTTGTTTCTAGGGTGATTTTCCAGGTGATTCTTCAGGCTCTGACATCGATGCCCAACACAGGTTTTCTAACGGCAATGCATGAGTTCTAGAGGCCACTGCCTCTGTCCTTCTTCAGATGCTGAGAGCCATTTTCTCCCACCCATTTTATCCATTTTATCCTCCATTACTTATAAAAAACCCCACTCTAAAATTCAACCTATGTCATAAAATTAACAAAATCAGAAGTTAGTATGTACATTCCCACAAAGATAAAATTACTAAAGTTCATCTTTATCTTTTTTTGTGAAAGATTTATGTAATCTCTAAGGAGTCAGAGTTATAAACAACACAAAGTTTGCAAAGAATCTTATTACCAGGTATACATAATATCTTGGAAATTGCCAAAGTACTCAAAAGCTTAATTCTCCTAGGATAGTAATTCTTCACTGGGAACTATAGTTTATAAACAAACTATGTTTTAGTAAGCAGAAATACAGTACTTGATTTGGTATAATTTTAAGATCTTTCTCACTAGTAAAGTGCTTAATTAAGAAAAATTCTTCCAACACGATTTAATTTGTTAAAGGCACAAAATGCCTGTCTCCCTTTAAAGCCCTTGTCTTTAAAATTATATTATTCATTTGTATCTTACATAATCTGAAGCTTTACTGTTTATTCTCTCAGTAATACAAAAAAAAAAAAAATCTACTTGAAGAAAAATGTTCAATTTTATTTTAAAAATTTTTCCATGAACATACATACAGCACTAAATTTGGTCCCCTTATGAGCGGTGTGCCATGAAGCACTATGACAAAAAGACATAAGTAAGCTTTAGGGTAAACGTTAACAAGGAATCCAAATACCTTCCAAAAGGGTGGGGAAGGGGGGCAGGGAATCAATAAATTAAAAATCACAGCTTTCATTTTATAAAAAATAGTTTGAATAATCTTATAAATTTTTTATGCTTACAAAAGCAGGAAATATATTTAAAATAGTCTTTTTAACACATATTCATTAGTACAATGTGGCGATGGTCACAAAAATGGCATCTACATTCTCCTTAGCAAATTCCACATAGAATTTAACCAGTTTGCAATTCAAAACCAGATTTAACTATCAACAAGGCCAGACTAGTTGTAGCTAGAACCCAAACATCAAGCTTTGTTCCATTTAATATATTTTACCAAAAATTTAAATACAGCTCAAATGATAGGTACTGATAACAATACTTGACTGCATGGTACCACCCATGACTACTGCACTGCAGTTCAAAACAGATTTTGGTCAGTAAATTAAAAATACATAAATCAAATTACAAGGCCAGAACAGTTATTTTAGAACCAGTTTCCTGACCTTAACTTTACACATATTGACAAGGCAAGGAAAAATATAATCCAATATATAAAGAGAAGTCTCTATTTTTAACCATTTGGCATTTTATAGTAACAATTTCCTTCTTTAAAATAGTATTTTACACTCCTGTGCACCAATTATCATAGCTCTCTGAATTAAAACTAGTTACCTTTCTAGAATGTCCAGTAGTGAAAGCATTAATTGCTTCTTTTGCACTTCCATGAGGATGGTCCTTCATCTTGTAACTTTTTAAATTTTGGACCAAGAAAGAACCACCAACCAAATCCGATAAAGACACAAATAATGGACTCCACGTAATAACCGTCCAGGGCTGTAACACAGGAACCTCCGAGCTTTTTGCAAAGCTTTAAAAATAAAATTAGAATAAATATTCCACAATTTCAAAAATGAAAGGACTCAGCAATTTAAATGTTACTATTTTACAATTTAAAAGATTAATCAAAATATGCTTTTGTTAAAGTATTTCAACATTTCTTTCACTTCACATGGGAAAACATGTTAATGCATCTTGCCTCTGTAATGCTACTAATGCGATTAAACACAACTTCAGCTCTTGCTGTAAACAAAACTCATTTTCAAGATATAGCTTTTCATGTTTGGGAAATGTGAGGAAATTTCCAATAAGTCCACTCTAGAAGTAGGCTAGTGTTATTTCGAAAAAACTTACCAATAAACTAGTCATCACTTCAGTGTTAGCTATATGATTATATGAACAGCCAATGGAATTTTCCTTTTCTTTTTCTGTCATTATAAAACTTAGCTATTAATTATGCATTTACAAGTGTCTATCATGCAGGACTGTGATCCTCAAGGTGGAGGAAAGATTGCTTTCCCCTCACTAAGGACCTTCAAGTGAGCTACTCGTATTGATTTGAGTGTGTTATAACCCTTAACTACAATGGAAAAGAAAAATTATGAGATTTCTATACTGGGAAGTATGGGCAGATATGATTTTTTAAAAAAGATAAAGTATCTCTTGAGGCAAAATGAGGAAATTGATATCTTAATATTAGCTTAATGTTATCTAAAATTACAACATACTTACCTCAACAGCATCAGGTGTTTGACAATTCTGGTTTGATGCTCCAACACATTCTTCCAATGTTAGGGGATCTACCAGCCACAGAGCTACTGTAGAGGGCCAGTTTCCTCCCAGATTGGACACAGTATTTAAAAGGGTCATATATGTTCCTCCAATAAGTGGATCACTAACCTTTGCATTGAATGCCATTATGGAAACATACATGCTGTACAATGTAACCTGTAAGGAAAATGTAAAACATTTTAGTACAATAAGACTTTATAAAGTTATGATCTGAATTAAGAACATCAAAATCATACACCTGAAAATTAATTTTCATGACTCTTACTAAACTCAAGTCAATGAACATTCATTGAGCACCTACTATAGGCCAGGTTTTAGTTACATCATGACAATACAAAGATGACTAAGACATAGTCTCTCTCTGCCCTTCAAGAACTTATTCTAGGCTGGGAAAATAGGGAATAATTATGATGGAATTCAATAAGTATTATAGACAGATTATGCTACTGAGGCCTAAATAAATGAACAATTAATTTTATCACAAATAATCAAAGGAAGGCTCAAAAGAGAAAATGACAAATGAAGTGTCATTAAAAGATACATATAGCAATAAGCAAAACCCCATATTTGTATAGCTAAATATATGTGTATATGTATACATGTATGAATTATACATGTAAACACTCCAATATGCAAAGCAACATGTTGTATCATTTTATATATATATAATTTCCTTCTACATATATAGAAGAAAAATTACATTTCAAAATTTTTATGCCAAACTAAAGAGAAAAATCACCTTAAGAGGCAAGAATTAACCTTCCATTTAGGAACATGGAAACAAACTGTATTTTAAAAATAGCATTCCTACATCCAAGGTAATACCACCAACAAATGTCCAACCTGGAACTCAATGCCTGGGTGCTTAAGTCAGTGTTCCTTCTACCCTACCAGGTAGACGTGGTGACTAGAGGGAACACTGAAAGCAGCAGAGGCAGTTCTACTCTCCCCATTCTGTCTCTGCAGGACATTGGTTCTATTTTGAACACAAAACACTAGAGGAGGAGTCACAGTTCTTAGCCCAAGCCTCTTTGGTTATCTCAGAGAGCAACATTAAAACAACGCAGCCCTAGGTCAGTGGTCAGCCTCAGGCTTAGGCAAGCTTGGGAAGCAGAAAATCTTACTTTCCAGTGTTCTTAACCAGCTCTTCTGGAGCCCTGGCCCTCTCTTATGAATGAAGACTCTTGAGCTAAGACCTGGGATGTCCTGATGCCTAGATGGAATGTTTACTCCTTACCCAGGAAAGTGACACCTGACACCCAAACTATATAAGCCAACAGGTCAGTTCCTGGAGAATTCTGATAAGGTTAACCCACAATAGCCATTTCCTGTCATCCCCTTTGTGACCATCCTTTCCTGGGCATTGGGCCCCCCTTATTCTAATCCCTGATTGTCAAAATGAAACTCACTTCTTGCAGAAATAAAGCAGCCTTGCTCAATTAAAAAATGAAAAAAAAAAATAAAAATAGCATTCCTTTGAATACTGTTCCATGGGGTCTCAGAAAAAGGAGTTCCAAAATAAAATAAGACTGAGAAACACTAAGTCACAAAATTAGAGAAGTCCCTTTTACAGTAGGCCTTCTAAGAACTTGTAGGACATAAACTCCTTAAGGGCAGGAATTGTGGTATGATTTATTCACTGTTATACCTTAGCACTTAAAATGCTTCTAACATAGAATAAGTGTAAATTTGTTGAAGGAATGATTAACATGCTACCTAAAGAAGGAGAATGTCATGCATCATTTCTCAAATTTACTCAGCCTTGTACCTTTTCTCCCAAAAAGCATCTAGTAATCTGAGTTTCAGTGAATCCACTTTGGAAAATTCTCTAATGATATACAAAGCCATACAAATAATTTTTGGACTACTGCATCATAGTTTTCCTTTACCTACACAGATAATGAAGCATTTACTAAGCTAAAGCACTTCTTTTAACTTTTATTTTATGTCTAACATGAACTAAGTACATGCAAAACAGAAAAAAATTATATTTGACACTGTAGCCCCAAGGATTTTACAAACATGATCCATTATGGAGTTCTCCTAAATGATACAACTGTATGCAAAGAATTACTGAGATTATCCAGTGGCCACACATTTTGTATTTCAGTTAAAAACAAAATGAGGAGTTGATAGAAGTTATTAAAAGCCAGAGGTTTAAAATTCACTGCCAAATAATTTCTTCAGCATCAAATTCATGCTTAAACCTTATAATTTGTTTTACACAGAACAGTTATTTCCTGAGAAAACCACAGCAAGCTTACCTGATGTAATGCATAGCTTAGCAGCACCGTAATGTAGTAATACACAGGGAATCCCCCTTGATGGCCTACTTTAGGAGTCCACCAAACTAACAGGGCATATTCTAATCCAAGCAATAATCTATTGAAGAAGAAAGAAACTAGAGTTGACTTTCATTTTAGCTTACAAACAACAGCAAAAACAGAAATCTCTGTGCTTACCATATGAAAGAAACCTATGTTTAAGATTTGTTACGAGGTTAAAAAGAGATAAAAAGTGCACAAAGATGATATTGAAATTAAAAATGCTTTTCAAGCCTTTTTCCAATAATACTCTACACAAAGATATTAGTGATACTGATGAATGTTCTCATTTAACCTTATTTAGTAAGGTTTTATTTTATTTTTACCTGTAGGGCATGGCTTTGTAAAACACGTTTAGTGGCTGGGGACCTGCAGTGTATTTGCTGATAATCAGAGGTAATATTATCTGCAAAGGAACCATTGGAACTGCCAATAAGGCTAAATGCTCTTTGGGAACTCCCTCTTCTACCAATTTCAGTCCTGTTACTGCATCTGCTGCTGAAAAACCAATCTGCAATAGAAAAACAAAGAGATATCTTATTTTGTGACTTATGAAATATTGTCCTCCAAGCACATGTGAATCCTTCAAGAACCTCAGTCTCAATACTGACCCCTGCCAGTTGCAAGTATCTATCATATTATTACATCAATCATGTTGGTATAACAATCAATTTACAGAAGGCACACTTTGCCCTATGGACTACCAACAATATTCAGTGAAACAACTAAAAATTCAGCACTCTTAGAACTGTGTAGATGGCTCTAATTACAACTATATTCCCATTTATAAAAGTTCAATCTCTTATAATAAAGTGTCCAAATCCAGACTTATTAATTTGTATGTTTTAAGTTTTAAAGGAAGCTTTTAATTGACTCCAAATAAGTCTGGTTAAAATGAAACCCTGCTGCCACATATACACATTTTTGATGATTTCTGATTAACCATAATAAAATTTCCAAAAGCCATCTAATGTTTCAAAAATAATTCCAAGAAACCATATTTGAGGAGCTAAATAAGATGGGAAGAGAAAGTACAGTTAGTTTCATTCTTAAAAACTACAAAATGACTAACGATACTGAATGTGGTAAGTGTACGTTTTGAGGTGAAGTAAGATATTTAGATAATCTCAAAGTTTCTCCCCATAAACTAGTTTTTGATTACAAAAGCAAAAATAGTAACTTTATAAGTGAACAAAGTAATCAGTTAACAAGAGTTAATGGGATAAAGGAACATAAGGCTCCTGATGTAATTTCCTGAAGGTATCACAGTATTACTTCTGACATTCCTGATATACTTGAATAATCTGAACCTAACCCTAAAGAAACAGACAAACATAAGTAGAAGGCCATTCTACAGAATAATTGGCCTGTACTCTTTAAAATGTCCAGGTCATGAAAGGCAAAGAAAAGCTCATACCAATGAAATGTAATGAGTGATCCTGGCTTGGATTCGTGACCAGGAGAAAATAACGTCATAAAAGCTGTTACTGGGACAACTGGTAAAATTCAGATACGATAATAGATAATTCAGATTAGATAACAGATAACAGTATTGCTTCAATTTAAAATTTCCCGATTTTTCATTAACTTGTGGCTTTGTAAGAAAAATCTTTGTAAGAACAAAGTCCAAATAAGACTTCTTAAGAAGGAAACACATAAGTTGTTTATGAATAAAGAGGTATGACATATACAAATTACTCTCAAGTATTTCAGAATCTGTAAAGAAACACAAATTTACAGGAAGAAGAAAATGGCACTAAATGTTAACAACTAGAGCGTTTAGGTACAGATACATGGAAATATTTTCAATATACAAGTAAATTTTCAACAAGTGTGAAACTATTTCAAATAAAAATGTTTTTAAAGGAATGACAAATACTACTTACTTTCACTTCTTGGAATGGAGCCAAAGAGCAAAGTTCACCATAAAAAAAGTAAAGGTCAAAGATATTTCACTAAAGTCCAAAAAATGATTTCACTTATATTTTACCAATTCTTTTTATAAAAATTAAATATGTAAACTAACTTCAACATTGCTCTGTCTTAAAAGTACTATAGTAGGAGACGGTGCAATACACATATCTAACAAAAAACTCATATCAAGGCACATATAAAAAATAAAAATTCTACAAAGTTAAAGAAAAAGGCAACTCTGGATATTCAAATGGCTAATACCATATGACAAGATACTCAACTTCTTTAGTCACCAGGGAAGTGTAAATAATAACTGTAATGAGATGCCACTACACACCTGTCAGAAAGACTACATTTTAAAAAGATAATGTATATATTTTCAAGACTGTGAAGCAACTGGAACTCTCTTACACTGATGAAGGTAGGGAAAATCCAAATCCTGTGGAACACTGGCAGAATATAGTAATGTATTTCTTATGCCCCAGTAATTCTACTTCTAGGTATTTATCAATCAGAAATATGCACCATGTAATATACATGAGTGTTTGTAAAAGCACTACTCATAATACTTCAAAGGTAGACATAACTTAAACATCAGCTGATAGAATGGATTAGCTGTGATATATTCATACAGTGGAATTTATAAGCAGGGAGATGAACAAACTATTGCTATGATATGGATAAATTATACAAATATAATTTTGAGAAAAGGAATACAAGAGCCAGACATAAGAATACAATACTGGATATTCCATTTATATAAAACTCAAGAGCAGGGAAATCTAATCTATGGTATTAAAAGTTAGGAGACAACTTTTGGTGGGGTTTACTTTAAAAGGGGAACATGGAATTCTAGAATCACCTTCTTATACATTGCTGGAGACAGTATAAATTATTATAATCTTTTAGAAAGTAATTTGCAGTCATATTCACTGACCAACTAATTGTCCATTAAAGAATCTACTAGAAATATTGAAAACAACAATTAAAGACTTATGCATAAAAATTTCACTAGTGCATTTTTACCATTAAAAACATATGAAAACTAAATATACAACAGCAGAAAAATGACTGAGGGAATTATGAGCCCTTATACACTGTGACAATTACATAGCTATTAAAAGTATGTTTTCAATTATTTAATGATACAGGAATATGAAATAATAAGACAAAAACAAGATAAGAAATTACATATAGTATGATACAATTCTACTTTTAAACTACTTGTATGTATATAAATATATATTAATATAAAATTATAATTAATGTATTGATTATGTGTATACATGTAAAATCCATGTACATACACATGTATATACACATGGGGGGAAAGGGAGCTGGACAGAAATATGTCAAAATATTAATAATGGTTACCTCTAAGTGATATAATCAGATGATAATACTACCTTCCTGAAAATTTTCCACATAAAGTTGAAACTTAAGTTCCTTGTTTAAAGCTTTTTAATGTTTCCTTAAATTTAACCCTCTCTATCTAGAGAGGAGGAAAAACTCACTTTTCAAAACAATGAGGCTACAATTTTTACTTCAGGTTTCTCAGAAGATAGCTATAAAGTGTTAATGTAGATAGGCTTAAATATATAATATGAAACTCCTACAACTGATTTAGAATTTAGGAATAGCTCACTATAACAAAATTTGCTCACCTTTCTTCTAGCATAATCTTTAAAATGTCTTACAACTATAAAATTAGGACATCTTAATACAGAAAATGTACAGAATAAAATAAAAGTCACCAAAACCCCCATTTGTCTGATGGTATATTTCCTTCCAACATTAAAATAATAATATTCAATTGATTTTCAAATAGATGTCAAATATTCCTACATTTCTATATCTTTGGTTATGGGCCCAGCAAGCTCCTGCTGCTTGGATCATACTCTAAGTAAATCATTTTACTACCTCTGACATTAAAAGCATACTTTTTATAACAGTAGAGAGCTATTCTTTTTTCAAGGCATTCATTTCCATACTAAGCACTAATATCATTTATTAAATAAAATTTCACACTGGAATTATTCCAAGTTTGTATAATTCAAGATCACAAGACATTTAGCTTACCTTGAAATTATATTTGATGTCATCACACCTTTTAAAACATATTTAATAGACAGAAAGTATTATTTTTATTAAATTCTAAAAGTAGTGGAAAGGACTTATGATACAAAAAGAAAACGGAAGTATTCCATGATAATGGTAATTATAATAGAAGAGTAAATTGCTTCATAAATCTCTTACCTTTGCAGTCAGGATCAAAAGGCAAAATGTCATAACTGCTGGCATTTTTATGATTGCAAAAAGTAGTTTGTAAGTATCTGTGATCCCCTGTGTTTCTTCTTTTCCTACTGACACTTCTTTGTTTTCTTTTTTCAGAAGGGCAACTAGAGTTGTTGTTATCAAAAATACAGTTCCCCAGAAAAAAAGGAAATCTGAAATTAAACATGTTAAAATCTATAATTACATTTTGAAATGATGTATCTTCATTGATAATAAATACTTCTGTTTATCCAACTTTTCCTCAACTAAAATATGTTAAAAAAAATCAACACTTGGGTGCCTATCATGTTCAAGGCACTATACCAGGCACAGAAGATGAACAAGACAGTCCTGGTTCTGTTAAATGTACATTACAATAGACACAAAACAATGATGCCTAAGAAGGAAAAAGGATTACAGATATTTAGTGGGGCTCAATGAAACAAAATCTAGAATGTCATTTTATTCAAGAAGTACTAGGAGTAACAGATGATTTCACAAGATCCATCAGTCACTCTTAAGTACCTAAGTCATTTCAGTTCTTTATTAAGTTATGACAACTTAGATAATCATTTATATTAGATTTTCCAACTTTTGTTTTTAAACTTTCTAATGTTTAAATCTGTTTAAGAGCCACTTCTTTAATACCATGATACAGAAGCAATTTCCTCACACCTGTAGGTACACAGTGGGGTCACATGAGTCCTGTTTGTGTTGTTTCTGTTTTAGTGGAAGATTGCTGGACCATCAGCCATTATTTTGAACAAATGAAGCAGAGGGAGTGATTATATCCTAGAAGATTCTATGTAATAGCTAAAAATAATAGTAAAAATAGAGGTACCATTTATTGAATTCACACCATGTGTCCTAACTGTGCTAAGCATTTCACATGTATCATTTCCTTTACTAAAACAACCAACAGATTAGGTTATTACTAGCCCCAGACTACAGCTGTAGAAACAGGCTTAGAGAGGGTATGTTGCCTGAGTTACATTCCAAGTTGGTGGTAAAATTGTGATTTGATACCTTATACAACTAATTTTAGGTATCTCCTTAACCATCCTGAAAAATACATCCTGGCTTGCCACTACAGAACAGTTGACAACCCTTTTCTTCATTTGTAAAACAAGAGGACTTCGCTAGACAATCCGAGAGGCTTTCTAATTGGTTTTATAGGTTTACCTTTTATTTTATTGCTCATGTAGCACAACATGGAGTTCATGGAGGCTAGTCACCCTTTTCAAAAACAAGTCAGGGTTCTCCTGTGTTTTCAGTCTTGCTCCACTGCTGTGCTAGTTGAAGGTGATCACTACTTGAACCTTA